TTTATTTATTTTTTTTTTTTAATATAAATGGACATAAAATGCGAGATGTTTATTAAACTTAAAAATAAAAATTTTATACCTTAGGACCACAGAGATTAAGTTGGGGTGAACAGTCTGATAAAGGATTAGCAATGATATTGAGATCCACAAGAAACATGGGTCAAGATAAAACAACTTTATTCATTTCCTTTAATTACATCTAGAGACCAATAGCTATTGACGAGTATGTCATATAAAGAAATAAGTTTAACCTTTAGTATAGATCTGTTAGACACTTTATGTATCTATCCATTTGTACCTCAAGTCAATCTGAATATATCAATTTGAATACAAATAAACTTGAATATATGGCCTAATTAAATGTAAAAAAAAAAATAATAATAAATAAATATATTACAATATAAATATATTATTTATTAAATATATGTGATTTAAAAATATATACACAGTCAATTCTGTTAATCTGAACTCCATTAAACCGAAGTACTAATTAAAATCCTGTTAAACTGAAGTTTGCTCAAAAACTATCATATTGTAAATTACCTCATTAAACCAAATTTACTAGATAAACCCCTCTAAACAGAATTTCTCAAAAAATTTTACTAATAGTCCCAGCCACATTGGTTTAATGGGGTTCATTGTGTATTATAATAATATATAAGCAAAAAAATTTGTAATATATATTGTCATAATATTTAGGTAGCTATAAATATATAATTTAATAAATAAAATAAAAAAATATTAATTATATAATAAAAATTACTAGAAAACTGACTAGATTAGGAAAAGAACATAATTAATTTTTGTTTTTGTTTTTATAAAATAATAATATTAGTGAAGCTTAACATATTGGCTTGACATATATCTAAGAGATAAATCAATAGTAACAAGCCAATATAGAAGAAATTCAATATAGTTTAATATATATTTAAAATAACTTATTTTTTTTTCCTCTAATCAAACTACTATTAGCATGTTTATTAATTCAATTCTGAACAACAATAATACAATGTACAACATAGTATTATATTAAAGCTAAATAATCTATTATAGTAGAACATCCGTCAACAAGTTTTAGATTTATACATGATCCTTGAATCTTTAATACCAAGACCATTATGTTGCCTATATGATCTAGCTATTTATTAACTATTTCATTACAAGGGAGTAAGTTTATTAAGCTATTACTGCGTAATACTAATTATCTTAAACTTTTCAAATCCTAACTCTTTAGATGTGATTGTGGAAGGTAATAGAATTGCTTCTTTCTGAAATTAAATATCTTTGATTTTCACTTCAAGAGATTAACACCAGCCTACACTTAGACTGTTACTCCAGTATAATCTTATTGTCCTAAGAGAAAAAAATTTTTATTTTTCTAAAAAATAAAGAGAAAATAAAGGGGAAGGAAAAGTTTGTACTGATAAATAAAAACCTATCTAAACCAACAAGTTTAATGAAAGTTTTCTTTAATCTTGAAGAGAAAACAAACCAGCCCAAGAGGAGAGAGGGAAGACTTCAAGCCACTTCTTATCAAGAGGACACTTCAATACCTTGTTCTTTTACTATTATTCAATTGCATCATTGGTTATAGTATAGTATAATATAGAACATGTGGGAGTATATGTCTTGTTTACTTTTCTTTTACATATCAATTGACCAGTCCTAAAATTTCAGCCAATCACCAACCAGAGATTCTGATGTAACAAAAAATTCAGGATCAAACTGAGGTAGGCAAAATTCATCAGAAAAAATTCAAAAAAATTATCATATTTGAAAGTACTATCACAATATGTATAACTGGTGAAGAAAGATCATACAGTATATTTATACAGATAGGTTCCTATCAGCTTATCCACCTGCCTCATAGTGAGGTGTAGCACTTATGATGGATCCAAGATTCTTATGGTACTTGGAAAATACATTCACTTGATAGGCCCAACTAGCTTATCCATCTGCTTTTAAATTGAAAGTTGTTTATTTATGGTGGATCCAAGGTTCTTATGGAGCTTGGGAAATGTATTTACTAGTGGTTCACTTTCTGGAGTTTCAGACCTAGGAAGAATATAGTGAAGAATATTTTTTCAATAGGTTTCTTCTTTCTAGTAAGGTGTTTTTACTATAATCAAATGGATACAGTTTTGTTTATTTTGTTATTGAAATATCCAAAATTTTTAGAAGAAGAAAAAGTAGACAAGTGGGAGAGACACTGGTTTTCAAAAGATAATGTTTTTAAGGAAAGTGTATAGACTTTATTATCAAAAATAAAGAAATATTTTTAAGAATGTCTGTTTTTTTGGATTGGCAAAGGGATCAGTGGAAAGAGTATTTATATTTAAAATAACTTATAAATAGTAATTATTGTATAAAAAATATAAATATAAACTAAATGAAATATGTTAAGCAAGGTTTGGTTAGTTAAAAAAAATTATTAAATATATTATAGTCACTTGTTAAATATTTAGATATAAAATATTTATTATATTAATACTTAATAACAATTCAAAATATACTATATATTGAATAATAAAAATATTATATTATTTTTATTTAATTTATTAATACTTATTAAATATTTAATATATTGTATTAATACTTGTTAGTTAATTATAATAATTGAAATTAAATACAAATTTGTATTATATTGAATTTTAGTTATATTTCAACTGAATTTTTAGTATTTTTAATATTATATTTGTGGTTTAGTAAAATTACAATTGAATATTTACAAGAATTATATTAATTTAAATTATATATTTAAATAAAATAAATTAGTCAAAAATATTATAAATAAAAATTATATATTTGTATTTAATTAAATAAAATTCAAATATTTTATAATTTAATATTTGTCTTATTTTCCAAGCCAAAAATAAAAATTCATATAAAAACATTTTTTTAAAATATAAATTAAAGATAAATGAAATTTTTTCAAGTTTTGAAAATAAAAAAATAATAACTAGATTAATATTTAAATTATTGAAATTAATAACTTTATATTATAATTCCTTATAAAAACAACTATATAATTGGTTAGAAGTTTTATATTGTTATCAAAAAAAAGATACTGAAAATTATAAACAGAAAAATTAATAATAGATAATAGATATTTGCATATAAACAATTAATTAAATAAGTAATAATAATAGGTATATATATATATATTGCTTTATATATATTAATTTTTAATAAATAATAAAGAAAAAAATATAAAAAATTAAAAATACATAATTGTTTATTAATAAAAAGTTTAAAAAATTGTTAAATATCAAAATAAATTGTTTAATGTTTTTAAAAAAATTAAAGATTCATTTATTTGAAAAAAGTAAAATTGATTTAAAAAACTTTAAATAAAAATAATTATATATAATTATAGTTAATATTTTATAAAGTATTTAAATAGTATTAAAGTTAATATTTAAATATTAAAATATTTATTTATTATATAGTTGACTAATTTGTTAAAATAAGTTTTGAATAAATATTTAAAGTTGATTTACAGTAATATATAAAGACAATTTGTAAAAGAAATTATATAATTGTAATTTACTATAATATAATATTATTCAAATTGGACTTTTATTGAAAGAAACAATGGAAAAATTAGTAAAAAAAATATAAAAAATAAAAGGTTGCCAAAGAATTATCAATTAATATTTTAAAAAAAATATCAAATTGAAAAAGCATAATAATGAGTGAGATTAGAAAAAAAATTATTAAGATGAAGATACAAAACTATTAAAAAAAATAACAGAAAAAAAAAAAAAAAAGGATACAAAATAACAAATTTTAAAAATTTATCAAAATAAAATTAATTAAAAAAAAAAAAAAAAAAGAAATGAAAGAAGAAAATAAAACTGAAAATAATAAATAACTTAGTTTATATAAGTAATATTTTATTATATTTAAATCAAATTATTTTATTATATTTTAATAAACTTTTTGTTAATTATTTTTATTTATTAAATAATAATGAAATTAAATACTAAAATATATATATATATAAATTTGTTAAATTTTTAAACTTAAAAATATTAAATTATAGCTAAGTTATAAATATGTCAAATAATTGTATTTTATTTAATTAAAATTATTGTTAAATGTTATAATATTATAGTTAACCACAGTATTAATAAATGTTTATTGAATAATTATATTAATTTAATGCCAAATGGTACCAATAGCACAAATTTGATTTGAATTTAATTATAGAATTATATATAATTTGGCAATTATTTGATATACTTAATGACCAAATTTTGACTAGTGTTATTGTTATATAGAGATTATCTTTGCCTCAAGTATGACACCTTTATAAAGAATATATTATATATTTTCTTTTGTATTTACAATTAACCCATTATCAACAAAAAAATCACAAAATCTTATTTTCAAGTTCAACTGTAAAACCTATTAACAATAAATTTCATTAACAGAAATACATTATTGAACAAAATTTGCTCAACCTAGCCACTTGCAACTTCCAATTACCCCTTAGCCTCAAACAAAAAAGAACAAGAAGAAATTTCTAACTACGCACTCAAGTATCTACTTTATTATTATCTGGCATAAAGTGGAAAAAAAACCAAAAGTATAGTCAACGATGGCCCTCCAAAAATGATGATGAAAACTCCACATTTATAAAGATCCTTAATACTTTACAAAACTCAAACAATTACACTAACAAACAGATATTCACTCTAGCAGTAATCTCATCATTCTGAATAGGCTGTATTATTACAACAATTTTTTTGTTTTTTTTATGAATCCAAGTTGCTATTTAGATCGCGGGCTAAGTGCGTACGATCGTTTATTCAGACACCATATACGGCGGCATACATATTTGACGCGAGTGGAAAACACCCCGCGGATCTATAGCAGCTTAAACTCTGTTAAGATAATCATTAAACCGCAGGAGTTTTTTTAAAGAGGTTAAATGGATATTATAGATCATTATTCGGAATTGAATCAATTTATCAATTTATTCGGTATACGTAAATTCAAACATCTTTGTTTGTTCTCAATTCACCACACAATTCACGACACCAACCAAAAAAGCCGTACAGATCTCCCGCGTTTTCGTAAACATCTTCTGGAATCAACATCAGAATTTTCAAGCCCGCCTGATACGCATCATTTAGGGAACGGCGTATGGCTATGATAACGATGAGAGCGGAACAGACAAGAATCACTCCCAAGAAGTAAAACAGAATCAGAAGTGAACGTGCAAAAGAAAAGGCCAACAAACTAGGAAGATACACAGGAAATGATAAGACATTGAAGACAACATCAAAGTTATCATGTGAACTCCTAGCACTATTGGAGTATATGTTAGTGAGGTATGAGAAGGTAACAGGGAAAACCAAAAACATGCTAAATAAGACGCTGGGTAGAAAAAGAAGAATGATGCATAGCGGAAATACAAAGAATGGATAGGTTATTTTCCAATAGTTGAAAGAGATCCTATTTCCTCTGAAATTTTTTTCATCTTCTATTATTTGAGAAAGTTTGTGAAAATGGAAGGTTACAACCATTTGATGAAATTTAAAGGTATCGATGAACGGTCTGAATAGCGGAAGATCATCGAAAATCTCGGTTTTCGATTCCTCGAGGTTAAGGTAGGGACAACATTGGTAAGGTAAATAAATGAGTGATACTAACGGAGAGATAAAATGGTAAGGATATTCTTGCCTTGAGAAATGAGTCATCAACGGAAGGAAGAGTGTAAGGAATAGACTGTAACCGATGAAAGTCAAAATTCCGGCAGTTAAATATAACAGGATGATTACGGGCGAGAAGGCAATTAAGAGGTGTTTTACGTTGTTGCAAAATCTTTTAGTCGTTACTACGCAAATAAAGTAGTTAGGCACGAACCCCAAAATGGTAATCAATATGTTTGGAAAAAGACAGAGGAATAAAATTGGAATAAGATAAATTGTGAATTCTAGGGAAATAAGGAATAAACTCGTGATAATTCTGAGGTAGGATGATAGCATCGTGAATATTGTCGAGCGGTGTCATTTTCGAAGATAAAACAACGACAGATGTAGTTACGTGTGAACTATTGAATGAGTTGCACGAGGCTGAGAGTTAATTGTTTAGCTTTCGCGTTGCCTCTCGCGTTTGTTTATCGGCTTGTGAGGCGAAACACACTATACTACGGTAGCCACGAATTCCTAAATTAGATATTGTTCTTTTGTATATATGCGTGATGTTTAGATATTCTACAGTAGTAATGATAAGGTTAGCTAAGACCAACCTCCACCCCGCGAATTAAAGGGTTTTTTTAATTTTAATTTAGACTCATACATTAATTACACCATTAATTTTACAATATTATCGCATTATCTCCTCCCTATCACAGTTGATCCGAAATTCTTTAAAAACAATCAATCACATTTCTTTTTTGGAAATTACATACATCATTTGAACAATAATAATTGACACGAAAACACTTGACAATGAATATTCGAATTAACATTCAGTACTTTGATTTATACACAACGCGACGTGAGCTAAAATAACTTGAATTCTTGTTAATTTTTAATTGCACACGGATTTTTGATTGATTAGTCTCATTCGAATATGAACATGCTTATAGGATTCAAGATTCAACCGAAAGGAGAAGGTTTATCATATTTCTTGATGCCTAACTACAATATTGACAATTGAATTTTACACAGCTTCCATAAAATGAATGATCTTAAATAATAATAATAATAATAATAATAATAATAATAATTTTTTTAATTACGAACAACGGTTTAAATACGATACTATATGTACAGTATCAATGATCAGTTATAAAGTAAAAGGTGGTAGGTCCCAAGATACTGATGGAAATGTTCAATAGTTCAAATCACTACTAAACATTCTCATTCAGTGATAGAATAATTTATTTCTTCTTTGTATTTTATGAAATAAATATTTTGACACCCAATACACTGTACATTTTTGATCACATAAGGAGAATAGTTCTTACAGTGCTAATTGCTATCTAATTATTAAACAGCAATATATCATCATTGACACAAGGAAAATGACTCACTTTACTAACCCAAATCTCGAAGAAACAGTTTTTGTCAGACACAGATCATGTATTATAATTTCCTCTGTAATTGTTTTCATTTTTCACCTGTCATTGATCTAAGGAATTCGAATCAATCTGCGTTGTCACAGCACCTGGATTGCATTGGATCGGACACAATCAGATGAAGAAGTAGCGTGTCGGCCGCAATTTCATAAAAAAACTTCATCTAAGATTTTTCATAAGCATATGAACCCGAAAAACCAATAATGCCCGTTGAATATAATCTATGCTTCTTTAAAAAAAATATGTTCTTCCATTTTACCTGTGTCATTTATCTTCTTTTAATAATTTCGATAAAACAACGCCAAAATAAAATTGGATTCGCTTGTCGATTTCATTTTAATTCATAAAGAACGGGTCACATTTATTTCCGAAGCCTAACTCTAACCCTTTCGTTTATTTATTTTATTTTACTTTATTTTATTTTAAATACCAAGGTTTTCTTCTTTTTTTCGCTTCTCGTATCTTCTTGTTTACTCGAAATCTTTTTTTTTTTTTTCATTGAAGCCATAAGTTATCGTTTTCCGAAAATGCATTATTTATGTGTATAAAGATTTAATATTGTCCGATATAGTGTATTACGTATTACAATCCCTTAGCGTGATCTTCATCACACCGTATTTGTTTTTTTACCAAAAACACTACCTACATAATAAATAATAAATAATAGTATGAATGATGATAACCACAAAAAAAAAGTTATAAACAATACCAATAAAGTTTTAACAGGACAGGTGAATAAATCATCCTTGCGAAACGAGCAAAATCCAAGAATGCTGAGTGAACTTGCCGAAAATCTTGCAAAATGAGAAGTGTTTGACGTTCATCAAATGCAAGGGATGGTCATGTAACATGTAACATCAGGATTGACAAAAATAAATATGCTTGATATTTCGCCACCGGAGTTGTTTCTGATCATTCTTCACTCATTCAATTTGAACTATTCCTAAAGTATCAGGTTAATAAGGTAATTATAAGACTGTGGATAATTTTTTCGGAAAAAAATTTCTCACTTTTCGGGATGTCCCATTCATTATACAGTACTGCGTTAAAAAAGTTGATAATAAAATAAAAAAAAACCACAGCTCACCCACCCACGATTCATCGATACAATACAAGATGTCCTTCTTAGAAGATATAAGATTTTATGTTCATCTCTTCAACATCTTGGAATTCACCGTGTCCATGACATGCCTCGTGTTTGGTATGTACGTGCATTTAGAAACCTAGATGTCATTCGTGTGCGTCAATAATCCGTGGTCCTATTTTATTTCAGAATCAATCTTCATTAACGCCTTCTTGATATACAATCCTAATGTTGATTCTTCGTCTTACTATAACGTGTAAGTTTTTCATACCGTATGTCTCGCGTGCCTCGATTGTCTTCCTCGATGAAATTAAAGCTCATGAATTTAATGCGTAGATTGACCAAGCCTGGATATCAATGTTTCTTTGGCACAGCCATACTCGTCAGTTTACTAATAAGTGGTGAGAATATTTGAGATTTGCCGTCCTTTGATATGCAAGTTTTCAGCAACCAATCTCTTCTCTTCTTGCATCATCAATTTCACCAGGATTTTACGGACTGGGATTCAGAAGAAGGCTTAATAATACACCGAGCAAATGGGATATCGGCATTCAAATGTAAATTTTAAATTCGTCTTCTACTTTTTGAAAGGTCATTCCATTTACATCATTTCTATTTGCAACGGTCAATTCTCCAGATTTCTTTTTTCTCTCTGGATTTCGTATGGTAATCACACCTAAACATCGAACCCGTATTCCCATTTAAAATACTAATTTCTCACCTTTTTTTTTTTTCTCAAAAAACTTAGGCTCAACAAAATCTGCATTTTTCCAACTTTTAGAGTTATCGGAGCTCTCACAACCCATCTCACTAAATATCACCGATCCGACATATAGATACGGATTAAATGTGTTTGCGCGTATAGGCTACTCCTGCTATGTCGCCACAATCTGTCTAGGTTTTGGAAATGCCATATTTTACGTGATATCCGCGGTGTTGGTGTTCCATTGGAGGAAGAACATGTATAGTTCTGTCGATAAGGATGATGTTGTCGATAAGGATGAAGTTCAAAGTGTTGTCGATAAGGACGAAATTCCAAACGCTAGTACCATCGACCGAGATCATTAAAGATCAAATGAATAACCCTATTTAAAAATTTTTTATTTAAAGCACACAAATTATTTTTTCATTACATTTCATTTCGTTACAATTCAATAGATGTTACAAAACATATTCATTAATTTATTAATTAGAGATCGAAAATACACTGTATCTATCGAAAAAATTACAATAAAAGAGACAAGAAAAACATACTAGGATCCGAGGTTCTTCTCAATTGATTGTGCATCATCTCACCAACCAAACACAGGAAGTGTCATTACATAGGTAGGTATAAATGAGAAAACGAATGAATTCAACAAAAGCAACGATGTCTAATATGATTTTACTTATTTTATTTTATGAAAAAGTCATTTGATGAATAGAATTGTTAATCAATCAATTAATTAATCATCATTCTACATCATAATATTATAATATTATAATATTATCACTGTAATCACAATAAGAAAAAATCTGCATTTTCTTATTAAAAATTCAAATTATTCAAAATTTACAACCAAAAAAAATTTATCAAAATCAAAATATCACATTCAATAATTTAAGATTATATTAGAATCTCAAAAAAAAATTCAATCAAATATTTAATAAATTCAATAAAAAAGAATTTATTCCTACAAGTTATAAATCAACAAACAAAAAAAATATTTAAAATAATAAAAACAATATGAAAACTTCAATTATAAATAGAAAAAATATTTTATAATAAATATAATAAATATTAAAAAAATTATAATATCATTAATAAAAAAAAACTCTTTCTCATATACATTATTTTTTTAAAAAATTTTCTTTTTTAAAAATTTTTTTTTAAAATTAAAGAAACAAATATTTTTTTTTACTTTTCAATATCCAAAAGTTCTTTATATTTTCTTTATTTTTATTACAAGAGCCTTAAAAAAACTAAAGAAGCCATTAATACATCAGAATAAGATCTCTGACCAAGAAAAAATAAGTTTGGACCTTACTCTTCTCTTGGATTGCATAAAGAAAAACCTATGGCAGTTACCTTCTTTTATTTCTTTCTTGGAGTTCTTCCTATTCTTACTTCTTATTAATATACAAACTTTATTAAATAAATATTTTCTTTACTTGAAAAACTGTTCTTTATTTTTAGAAACAAAAACTTTATATCAAAATAGTTTATACTGCTGGCTTGAAACATTAGTAATATATATATTTTATACTTTTTTTTTAATAATGTTTAATATATACTACTATATACAAAAAATCAAAAATTCTTATTTAAAAAATTTTTCATCAAAAAACTATAATTAATTTATTCCTATTAACTAATTATCAGTTCAAACTCAATCAATCAAATATTAACAAACATCAAAATAAATTCATATATTCAATACATCATATTATAATAAACAAAAACAAAATCTTTTTCAGTATCAACAATCAAAACAAAATCACATATCCAGTATATTCTTTAATAATTAATGTAAATAATATTACTATAACAATTACTACAATTATAACAATTACTATTTTCATAACAACTCAAACACTAACAAATAAACTTATTACCACATTAACTGTAATTACATCAATATAACAATAATATTATTATTTATTCAGATTTCATCTCTCTATCAAAACAAATTTCAAACCAATTCAAACCAGTTTCTTAGTATAACAATAATAACAACAACCACTATTAAAACAATAAACAATATTATTTATATTTTATTATTTAAGTCAACAAAAATTATATCAACAAATAATAAGGAATTATAATTATAAAACAATAAGCCAGTACAGGGATTTCCTTGAATTTTTATAACTTTTATTTTCATAAATTATATAATTTAATTGACTTAGATTTAATTTTAATAGTCTTTATTTTTCTTTTTATTTTTTATTTTTTTCTTATATCTTTTTAAATAACTCTGAGTAGATAGTATTAATAAGAAAATGATATCAGGTATAATTACATAATATGCTTTGATGTATCTCATATCTCAATTTTCAATAATTGAAATAATAATCTATAGTAATACTTTATAATTTTAAAGTTTATATTAATTATAGTTTTGAATAATTTATTAGCTAGTATAAGAAAATAACAGTAGATAGTTTATTTTAACTTAATAAGATCATATAATATAATATCAATAACAAGATATGATATGCTAATATAAAAAGAAAAAGATGAATAAAAATCATATAGTATAATAATAAAATCTAGCAGTATATAATAATAATAAGATTCAGTAGTATATAACAATAATAAGATTTAAATATATAACAATAACCTTAATTAAAAAACTTTTTAATTAAGATATATGATCAATGTTATGAAAAAAGGAAAACTAATTAGCTTATCTAATCCAGTACTTGTTACAAGCAAGAATGATAGGAAACTATAAAGAAAAGTGATAAAGGTTTTGTCAAAGAAAGTATTAATAAAAAGAAAAGAAGAATTAATAAAGACTTAGCTAAACAAAAATCACATATCTCAAGTATAAAAGCTAAAAACTTACCTGATGTTATATAAAGAGAGCTTTGGAGAAGCAACAGACTTATCAAATAAGATATCAACAATAGGTATAGCTATTATTCAGCTATATCTAATATATTAATATTGTTTTAAAATTTATTTTCAATATTAGTTAGATATAGATTGTATAGACAAGTTAGTATTTAACTTACTATAATGCTTTTGTATCTAAGAGATATTATTTCTTTTATAATATATACTATATTATACAATTATTAAATAAAGAATAATATTTACCTATTGAAAAAAATAATAATAATAATATTATTAATAATATTAATTATTTAATACAAATAATATTTTTAAAAACATGAATTGCTAAAAACTCTTTTTTACTTCTCCTTCCTGCACTTGAAAATTACCTTTTTAGAAATTTTTTGAGTTGTTTACCTTTTCTTCACTTTTTTCCTTCCTCTCTTCCCTTGACTACAAGCTTTTTATCTTTCTCTTACCTTTTCTTCCCCTACTCTTTTATTTACACCTTTTTAGTCTCTTCCTTCTCCCCTTCCTTTTTTCACTTTTTCTGCTGAAGTTAGATTTTTCCTTTTTTCTAAAGTTTTTTCTTCCTAACCTTTTCTTATTTAGAAAACACTATACCTTATTTCATCACTCCTCTAGTCAGTTGACTCCATTTTTTCAGGAACCATATATGAAGTGACAAATCTTCTCCAAGAAATAGGCTTTGACAAGTTTTTCTCTTCCATGATTTTTTTAAAAAAGAATGAATGGTTTATCCCCTTCAAAAGATTGATATGATCATTATTACCAAATCTGATATTGTTTACTTGTTGATAACTAGATTAGATATGTTTAAAAAACCAATGCACACTATTATTGGCTGAATCCCTAGATATTGTATCTTATGGGAATCTAGTAAGACAATATATAAAGACCAGAAATTCTAGTTATTCTTACAAACAGAGCTAATGACAATAATCACTTACTTCTTGACAATATAGATCTTTTATGCAAGATTAGATAACAGCACTTATAAGAAAACCCAATCCAACTCTATCTATTGGACACTTCTACTATACTTGAACAGTGGATATGCCAAATTCTTTTTATGACTTAAAAGCCAACCTGTATAAAGTGGCTACAGTGTCTTCATGCATCAAGATAGCAACAACAAATCAAATCCAGTAATGATGCCAATACTGACTCCTCTTGCTATACATCAAGTCATATTTGGAAAGCAAGAATGCTAATCCTACTCATGACTTGGAGGCCAACCTGTAAAAAGATAGCTGCGGCACCTTCATATATTTAAATAATCAAACTACTTCTAAAAAACTAGATACCATCCAAGACTTTAATATAATTTTTAAATTTCTTTTACTATATTTCTTGGATAATGCCCAAAGTATAAATGGGGATTTTTATTGGTATTTTGTGTTTAACTTTACTTATAGTTTAAAGATACATATATCATTCTTTCAGATTGTAAATCTTTTTTCAAAAAGTCAAAAATTACAATAAATATTAAGTGATAATCATTTTAACTCTTTAAAAAAATATATATATATTTTTAAAAACATTAAATACAGTCAACTCTCGCAATAGTCACACCATCAAATCAAGCATTTTGTGTGACTATAGCGAGCTTGTGACTAATATAAGAATTTCGGGTTAACCAATCAAATT